GATCATCTCTGTTCTCTTTGGGGTTCCTTTGTGTATCCCATGTGAAAGTGGCCAGCCCAACTACTTCCAGAAAGATCATTTCAAGAATGTGAGCCGTGGAGAACAGCAGACACATTGCTCAGTCTGAATGATCCACACTACTACCATGACCACAGCTGCAGCTGGTCTCCTGGCAGAATAAATCCTGGGACCTCTCTGTACTAGAAAGGAACTACAGCAGTGTGCCTGACAGGTTTGTCTGAAGGATGAGCCCATTGTTTTGATCATTTTCTTACTCTTTCTTGTACTATAAGATAACTCAACAACATACAGACAGTACAAGATAAGAGGCTCAGTCCTTGTTATATGCTTTTCATCAGTCAAAAGACTGATTTTCAGCTGCCAAACTACAAGTGGAATTTGTCTACAAAACACAATCTGAGTTCCATTAACATCGTGGCATCAGTACTTAGGGTACGATGCTCTATGCATTGAACTATTCACTCCTTGCAACTAAGAGAATAATGACGACTCATGTCTACAGATGGCTGCATCAAGTAGCTAGACATTTAAAAGGAGACTAAAACCAGGGCAACCCTTCTACTTCACTGGAGCAAATGCAAATTCTCGATATGAAGATTTTCATTCTGGAGGTAGGGTAACAGAAAGCAAAACACAGATAACACTAATATTAAATGTTAATAAACAAGGCTACTAACAATTATTAGGGTTCTAGCCTATTTTATAATGGGCTAGAATATATTCTTAAGTAGAATATATTAGTAGTTGAGCATGTTAGTTGGTTGCTAATTATTCCTAATGAACAATGATGTCATTTTCCATGGGTATCTGTAAGATACATCATTCGTATCAGTAACTTCACTGTAAATTCCTGTGATCACTGACCAGCCCCTTATAAAATAAACTTGGAAAAAAAGTACTGAATTTAAAAGCTTTGATCATAGAACTCTGGAAGAGGCTCATTAAATATGCTACCCATGCCTTGCTCTCAAGCTCAAAAATAAGTTCTGACAGACATGGACTTGGCTTGGCCAATGTGCAGGTTTCTAGGGAGAAGCAAGATATAGATTACTGAAGCTATAAATGACAGTTCAGTGTCTAAGCCTCATAAGTTTTAAGTTTTACTGGGATACATGTACCTTCTATCTTAGAAGATTCTTCAGGAAAAATTCTATCACCTTCAGATTGTAAAAAAAATTATCCTTGGTCTAGATAACCTTATTTTTACTTCTGGTTACACTCGTTTACATTTAAAGATGATGTACCACTCCATGCATGGACAAATTAGTCTTTTTTTTTTTTTTTCCAGTCTATTTTGAGATTGGGAGAGCAGTGAAAGTTTTTTTATCTCAGTTTTAGTAAGGCTTTTGACACTTGTCTCATAGGGTATAACATCCCTTTGACAAAGAGGTGGATTGAAAACTGGAAGAAATGCCAGGCCCAGAAGGCAGTGACCAGGGTCACAAAGTCCAGCTGGAAGCTGATCACTAACCGTGTACCCCATAGGTCAACACTGGGGCCCATACTGCATAACATCTGTTTTAATGGGCTCGATGAGGGAACTGAGCACACCCTCAGCAAGTTTGCAGACAATATAAAACTGAAAGCAGTGGCTGGTACACCAGATGCCTGTGCTGCTATCAGAAGGACCTTGAGAAGTTCAAGAATGGGCCAAAACAGAACCATATGAATTTTAACAAAGAGGTTATAGAGTCCTCATCTTTGGAGATATTCAGCACCCAACTCGACACAAGCCTGGGCAACCTCCTTTAGTTCACCCTGCTTTGAGCAGGGGCTTTGGACTACAAAATCTCCAGAATTCTCTTCCAGTTGCAATTGTTCTGTGATAACCGTACACAGATATATCTTGCAATAAATGTTGCACTAAATACAGTATGCAAACATACAAAACATACTATATTTCATAATATAAAAGTAGAACAGGCCAGCTGCTTAGGTAATCACCTATCTAGTGTAAGCTAGTCCTAAATATTACAATTTGAAACAGTTGAAGATACGAACAATACACATTAAAAAGGCTTTGTTGTAAAGAACAAATTTCAGTGCTTCCCAGATAATAACAATTGCTTTTACCAGACTTTTTAACAACTCAGCATCTTACATGAAACTGCTGTAATTACTGCTATAATCAACATCATAACTTACAATAACACTTACAATTAACATATGGTAAATAGCATCAGCCAATTAGACTATCATGTGCCCTGTACATCTGATTCCTGTTTTCACTGGAATGCAACTATTTGTGCTGGATCTTGTCCAGGGTCTCTGCTTTGGCCTCTAACGCTCTTTAGATGAGCAACCCTCAACTTTCTGCTGTAGTTAAGGGGAAAGACAAGATTTCTGTGCATATGAATTAGGTCATAGATATGAACCTTGAAAGGAGATTCATTAGTCATTTTTAGAGCTCCACTACTTTAAAGTAGAAGAAAATAAATCACAGAAAACATCCCCTTCATCACTGCATACCATCATCATAGACAGCAAAGTTAAATCTGTATTAATTACACATAGCCTACCATTTCTCCTTTTGTTCCCTGAGCATGCTTTCCCTTTTCTTTTTTGTTAAACTTCAAGGTCTAGAAACAAATGCAGGGACTTTATTTAATTACTCACAATCAAATCTCTGCTGTTGCTGAGTGACTTCTATGGATGGCCAAGGATTCAGTGTTTCCAGGGCCATCTATAGGTTCTCAGGACTTGGCAGGACTGGATGGTTCATCTTAACAATTAAGTAATCTGTGTACTATCAACAATCCCTTTCCTCAGAGGTGCCGCTTCCTCTAAAGCAACAGAATTTAAGTAGCAACATGACTGTTTCAGAGTGGTAATGACTGACTTTTCCTTTGCCCACAGTCTTGCCCAAAGTCTCCAGCTTCAGCTCCTGACAGAACTGTGATACCCTCAACACATGGTGCTCAGCAAACCACAGAACAGAAATATCATATGTGAAGCCCCCTCTTGCACATTAAAAAAGCACAAAACAACTAGGAACTCAAAGCAACAATATGACCACGATATGAAGAAAAAACATGAATTATCTTAAAACTTCAATTTTTATTGCTCTGACTTATTGCTCTGACTTTCCAAAACCAAAATCTAAGGAACATATTCCAAATTAAGAAACCATCACAGAAATTCTTTGTTTTTACCTGCCTCAGGAATTTATGCTAGAGGAGCAAAAGAGTCCTTTATCAAAATAATTTCACCACTGGCAGGCTGACATTTTTATTTAGGGTCCCAGAGGAGACCCATGTTAAGGAGCCCCTTCCACTATTATGGCTCAAGCTACAGAAGACATCTTGGGCCTTTGAAAGATACCTGTTACCACCAAAAAGAAAGCTGACCTGAGACTCAAGACAGGACTTATCTGTCCAGCTCTGCTATGTGATTTAGGGAAAGGGTTTGGGGTGGGAGCAATGGAGAAAGGTTGCATCTGTGCTTCTTCCCCTGACGCCCCCTCATTCTCATCTACTCAGATGTTATATCTTTGAGGTCTTGGGATGTTTTTCATTAATAACAGTTCTGGAGTCCCCCACAAGTGTAGTAACAAACTGTTAACCAAGTGCAGATAGTGGTATGTTTCAGTTTCTTTTCTTCAGGATATAGTTAGAGAAAATACTGATAGAAAGTCAAAGAAGGCATGCAAAAATTTCCACATTAAACTAGTGGCTGCATGTTAGAATCAAGAAAAGGGCCCATTATGAGCAATGGAAGCTTTGCTTCAGTCTGAAAGGCAAAGCTCATTTGACATTTCCATCTGTGTAATGTACATGGCAAAGGCTTGCATGCAGTGTTCCATCGTGTTCTTGATGCTGTCAAATACAGAAAAGGAAGAAAATGGAAACATGAATCAATGAAGTCATTTTCCTTCCCATATACTACCTCAGGCTGAAATGATGTCAGAATTCACAAGAAAAACAAGTTTGAGTGGCACCAACATTTCAGAGGAGGAAATCCAAAGGAAAATCATATCCATCAAAAACTGGTGCTGATGATTCAACAGGCAGCATCCCTACTGCAAAATCAGTAATGAACTGATTTTGTCTGTGTGATGCACGGCTGTCATTGTTGGGAGTTTGGGCTTTCATAAGAGAGGGGGGGGAAGGACCATACCATCTTCCCAGACAACCAAATCCTGAAGGGTCTGTAAGACTGGCTCCCTTTACTTTCAAGTCATCCAACCTCCTGCTGAGATGTAAAAGTCATACTGGTCTAGTAACCACTGTAATTTCTGACAGCTCTCAAGATGTACTTGTACCCTACCTAGACTTATCAGACTACCAAGTCTGATCCTGGCTTGCTACCATTTCATATGCCATACTATTCAGTACAGAAGCCTCTATTTGAGGTAAAATTTGATGGGTATGGAAGAAAAGGGGTAGAGGGAAAATATACCCATTTTTCCCCTTGGTTGTCACTTTCTAGAAAGACAGGTGAGGAAGGTACATGGCACCTTAGCTGATGTATTAGCTATTGCTGTCATTTCGGGGTAACCTTAGACTTGGAAAGAAATGTGGCAAGCTTGAACCACATTAAAGCCCTTATTTAGCAAAATGCTCTGAAACACATGCTTACAGTTAAGCATGTGCCTAAATGCTTTGCTGAATTAGGACCTATGCTGGTAAAAGGGGCAATTGATTAATGGTTTCTGACAACCACCAGAAACTAATGAGCCACAGACCTCCGCTTTTTCCTCCAAATGACTGTACTTAAACCCGAAGGAAATTTCATTATGGAAACAGAAAACACTTATAAATAAATCATACGTGTCTCCTTTGCAAATATTAATTTTTATCTGCAATTAGTGGTAAACCCAAACTTCCTTTCATACAGTAATCTGAGACAGTGCCATTTGCCCTGTGTAACTGGTTACTCACTCAAACACATAAATTTCTTTCTAGAACTGCAAGTTGTATGGAAAGCTGCACAAACCCAGCTAAATCAACCATGGAATATTCAGCATCCAACATACTAACCGAAAGGTTGCCTCACTGCATCATAAGCTTCAGAATGAATCAAGCCAGCTCCGTGCAATCCACCTAGAAACAAAGAGCTCAGTAACAAAGTGCTGAAACCAGCTTCAAGCCGCTGCACATTTAGCCTCAGTGAGGTGTTAGAGGATCAGATCCCAGGGAATTAAGACAAACTATTCAAGTCTTTCCACATGGGAGAGAGAAAAGGTCTGAAACAGTGAGAGGAAATGACTTGTCCAAGATAACCTTGGTCCTCTTAAGATGCAAACTGGCTCTCTATTTGCCAAGCTGTACCCCATCGAAGAGTCTTTTTAACTGGCAACATGTTTTAGCTGGCTTCACTTTATTTTTATTTAGAGAGACAGGAAAGACCTGTGGCCAAGGCACATCACTGGAGCCATGGCATTCAACTCTAAGGTCAACTTTATCTAAATACCATTAAACAACTCATTTTATTTTTCCTACCACCATTGTTGTTATTTCAAGCACAGGCAACACCTCCAGTATGACAAAAGCAATAACTGCTGTTAACACTATGATGTCTTAATCTATCAGGTATACCTAGAAACGTCAAGACCACAAGCTAAAAAATAGGGACACTAATATCTGTGTTCTCATTGTGACATTCATAAAATATCTAAAATTATTCACCCTCTTTCCACGTGTATTTTAGTCATCTGAACCAGATTTCAAGAGTAGACAGATGCTATGTAATTAAAACAGCATTAAAAATTTGATGACATACACCAAGGTTTTAATGGGTGTTTACAGAGCTCGAAGGGCATAAATAACACCAGGCTTCATAAAAGATGATAACTGAGTTGTTCCCTTCATTCACATACTCTTTCCTGTAAGTGTACTAATTCACCTATAATTCTAAAAAAGAAAAAAAAAATGGAGGAAAAAGAAAAAAAAAGTATTTAGTAGTTTGCATTCTTAACTGTGGTTGACTAGTTACCTGAGACTGAGGTTTCACAGTCAGTAGGTTTATGCACACACATCACCAAAAACTGCAAATTCAATCATCTGTGATCGCATTATTGTCCTATTCGTTTACAGAGCATTACACATTTATACCAGCCCTGTGACAGCTTTGCAAGCATAGGCAACATCTAATCCAACAAAAATCCTGCCAACGTAGTTAACCTGTCAGTTTCCTTGCTAGTGATATGAATTAGCAGAGAGAATTCATACCAGAGTTGCATTACATGTCTTAACTACAATGTTTCTTACTAATTACTAGGAGCCCTAATGCACAATTTATATTATCACTGAACCATGACCTAATAGTAAGAAGGGGACTTCAACTTCCACAGTGCTGTTTAAATGTTTCTTGAATATCCATACCTTTGTAACAGAGACAAGAACTCAAAGACAGATCTGAGGAAAGAAAAATGACAGGACTGACATGTCTGAGACTTGGGAAAATGACCAAAATTTATCCAGCCAGTGGAAAAAAAAAAGAGAAAAAAAAAGTTTCAGTTCCCTGAGTTTGGATCAGATCAAATATGCACACACACTAACAATGCCCCAGAGGAAAGGGTGGGAAGGGAAAAGGAAAACATTTGATTTTTCTTCATAAGTCTATATAAATAAGATATTACATTACTAAACAAATATTAAATGTGTTTACACTTCTGTTACACTGTGAAGAGGAAAACAAGTGTTTACCTTTGCATACCTGACAGTTTCCAATATGTTTATTATAACTGAGATCTTGACCCAAAACCTACTAGAAAGTCTATTTCAGGTTTCTGTGGATGTCAGTTAACAGTTTGTAAAAGCTCATACTACATAAATGGTCTATGTATCTACCACAGTAATGTGCACAAGACATTTCTAGGGTCAGACAGAAAACTTTCAGCACACTTTCAAAAAGAAAGACAAGGTGGTGAGCTTAAAAACATATGTCTTTACTCATTCAGTGCATGGGAAAGTTTGAAACAGCAGTTACTTCCTATTCCTAGCACAGTGAAAGTCTGCAGGGTATCAGTTATTACCCTATGAGGTGAACTTTGATATTTGTAAAGATGAATACTGTAGCTAGCCAGCCACCAATGCAAGAAAGCTTATTCCTTTAGCAAGTCTTTTATTCTCGTCACATTGGCCACATTCGCATTCAGCTTGATCCACACAGAGCTCCCTGGCTATGACAGAGTTCACCATGGATACTCTGGCTCCATCAGCTACACTCACACCTGGGAAAATAATGTAAAAACTTCATATTCTTCAAAAGATTAGAGACTTTACTTAATTATAGTAAGAGATACTCTGTGAACTCTCACCGCTATCTTTCATTACAATACAAAGTTCAATTCTGTATTTATTTAGCCTTTTATTTCCAGAGATTTTGCTCTACTGCAGAGTTATAACAGACACACTTCTTCATTTCCTCTTTCCTTTACAAAGTAGAAGTCAGCTTGAAATGATGGTGAAAGAACATATATGAACCTTTCACTACATGGTTGCTATTCTGAATTCAGCATAATCAAACTGTGACAAATGGATGTTAGGAACTGACAATTGCTTTGCTACCAATGTACATGATGTTAAATTAATACTTGGGGGGGAGGTACATGTTGTCTTCCTCATTAGCATTCATCTGAGTGTCTAGGAAGCTTGCAGGAGACCAAGTATAGATCTGGATGATTCCCTCACTGCTATGGTAAATTCACTTCAAAGACTCCAAAAGTCTTTCAGTTGTGCGGAAACAAAGAGGATTAGAGGAGCAAGTACCTTGCCTTAAGCTGTTCCTCTTTTGTGGAAGGAGTGTGGCTTCTCCTCTAATAACATGTTATCTTCCACGAGACTTGCTCCACTTTCAACAAAACATGTTTGCTCTTCTGTCATAGCGTTGCCACTTTCTTCTCAAGATTTCTAAAACCAGATATTAAAACTGAATATGAAGCACACCCATAGGTGCTAAAGAAACTTGGCTCCAGATCCATCCTGCTCTCCTGAAGTGTTTTTCTAATTGCTGTTCTCCTAATTACTTTCAAAAACTCATTGAAGCATTTCATATGCATTTCACTCTTTGCTCTAGGGCTTGCCTCCCTATTTCAGCCTGTTTTGTTTTTCAGTTTGATATCTCCCATGAAGCCACTTGGTCCTAATGTGCCTGAATACATTTGCAACTTAAGTCATTTGATTAAAAAGAACAAGTTTCTTCATTGATACATATTTTGCTATTAATTGCTTAAAAAATCCTATAAAAGACAGGAACTGTGAGTAAAGGCACTATCGAGTAGTGTCAAAACATGCAAAAACAGGCAATGTTCAGCTTAGAGAATTCTGAATGCACAGGCCAGATCTCCCCAAGAGTCATATTAGTTTAGTAATAGATAATGAACTACTAAACGAGGCAGTAGTTCTCAGTTCTTATAATAAATAAATAAAACCCAACACACAGGGCTGATAGCGTATGTCCCTGGAGAAATAATTACATATGGCTCTAAATACAGCAATTACAAAGAATGCTCCATTTTTTAACATGTACTGACTGGTCAGTTCCCAGCTAGAGTCCTGAGTCCATCTGCAAGTGCATTGCTTTGGGAAAGCTGGGGAATTGCACGAGGGTCCAAAAGAGGACAGTAAATGTTATCAGAGATCTAGGTGACACAGCCTCCATGGAAAGTTTCAATTTACGTAAAAGACATGGTAAGTGTCCTCATACGTGTTAAGGGAGAAGAGAATGACAAAGTCTTCATATCCACTGAGGGAAGAACAGACAAAGCATAACATAAATTAGATGGATAATCTAAACCTTGAAACTAGTAGTTTCCCTATCGGTTAAGACACTAGGAGAAACTATGTGAGGAGGAAGATAATTAAACACCATTACAAATCAACTGAGGAAAAATATAAAGCTCTGCATGGGACACTTTCAGAACAGGGAACACCACTCAAAAACCATTTAAGTAGGAACCTTCGTTTGGGCTACTAGGATGGACTGGATTACTTACCAATATTTTCTCTGGCCTAGAATTTGCATTTTGCAACACCACCTGCCAGAATTTCAGTATAAGTGCTATGCATGTGTCTTGAACAAGAACAGCAGTAAACTGGAGCTCATCAAAAGACCACAGGAAGGGAAAGTCCTTACGTTCTCTACAGAAGCACTTGCAGAGAAAGATTCCTAAAGATTCAACTGGCAAGTCAGTATGTCCTTATAGCCAAAAAGTATCAGAAATCAATGATATGTAACAAAACCAGAACCCGAAATACTGACTATGGACACTGTGTTAACCATAGATAACCATCAAATCGATGTACAAAACCCCAACCTAATGCCAGATCGGAATAGCTATAGAAGTATAATGAAATCAAGATGCAGGTTTTTTTTAATTTATTTTTGCCAAGAGGACGGTTTTAAAGTCCATTAACTCCATTTCTTTGTCTTAAAGCAAAAATATCCGAACCTGAAAATTCAGAGACTCTAAAGAGATACAACAGCCAGTTACTAGCTTTGACTTTTACTGAGTGACTATTTCCTGCCCATAAAAATCTCCCCCTAAATACTACTATTTTCACTGGAAATTCTCTGCATATTTAATTTACTTATACTATTCCTTTTATTATTGAGCTCTGCTCTGTTATTTTTATTCGGATCATGAGAATAACATCAGCGATACCCATTGTGGCTGCTGTCCTACCAACTTCAGTATCCTGATTCCAACAGTGACTATGAGGTATTCAGAAGAAGATAAACCCATGATTCAATGATCAGATTGTGCAATAACAAGCAGGATAAGGCAGGTGAATTCTTTTCCAAATCCCTCAGCATTCAGCTTCCACTCTGGAGCATGAGATCTGCTTACCCTTAACTTCACAGGCACATCCACACTTTTTATTAAGTCATAAAACAAAATCTTTTATATCCAAGCTACTTAATCATCTTGCCAAGAATTTGATTAACTAAAATTCTGGAACAGATAGAGGGGAAAAAATGCAGCAGTAGACTTTTCCCCAAAACACAAAGTAGTAGTAATTCTGTGTTACATAACAGAGTGAGGCATATGAAAATATGAAAGGTTTACAGAAAAAAAAAAAGGAAAAAAAAAACAAAA